CTTGTATATATATATATATATATATATATATATATGAGTCTAAAAGATTGTGTAACAATACCGATAAAAAGATGGAAAACAAAACACTAAATATTGTATTGATGAGTATCTGTAGGTTTAGAGTATATATCTGTGTTTATTATACCTACAGATTCATTGATGACGATGACATGAAATGGGACAAGGGAGACCAGGAATTACAAACTTTTATAACAAATGCTAACAATCAATACCCTACCATCAAATTCACCCATGAAACATTTAATTCCACCATAAACTTCCTTGATACATCTAGCACCCTCTCTGTAGGTATAATAAACACAGAAATATACTCTAAACCTACAGATACTCATCAATACTTGTCGCCTGAAAGTCGCCATCCTCCACACTGCACGAAGAGCATTCCATACAGCCAAGCTTTCAGAATAAGGCGAATCTGTTCCTCTGAAGACACTGCAAAACAACGTCTGGGGCAGCTCAAAGGACATTTGAAAAGAAGGGGATATAAACACAAACTCTCAAAAATAGTTTTCGAAAAGCGGAATCCATCCCCAGAAGCAGTCTGCTAACTTACAAAGAAAAACAGAAATGTAAAAGAATCCCATGTGTGCTCACCTACCATCCATGCCTGAGAAATAGTGTCAAGACCATTCGTGATCATTGGACAGCAATCGAGAAACATTCTAAGTTATCCAAAATCTTTCCTGAGCCTCCCATGATTGCCTTCAAACAACCTAACAGCCTGAGAAATATACTTGTCCGTGCTGACTTTTCTAAACCTAACCATACTGTAGGTAATTGCCAGCCTTGTGAGGATAAGCGCTGCAAATGTTGCAACCAATTGCAGCATTCATCAACATTTCACAGTAAGACCACAGAAAAGACATACAAGATCTTCTGCAATGTCAACTGCAAAAGCTCAAACGTGATTTACGTTCTTGAGTGTTCTATATGTGGTCTCCAATATGTTGGTGAATCTATGCAGCCATTTCACAAACGCCTTAATGGCTACAGGAGTGACCTCACAAAAAAAACCGTATATTCCTGTCAGCCAACACTTCAGGTTACCAGATCACAATCTGAAAGATTTTGATCACATGAAGATCCTTGTGATCGAACAGGATTGTACATGGCAAAATAGGCAAAGAGAGAATCGGGAGAAGTTTTGGATAAAAACACTGGGTGTCCTCCATCCAGATGGAATCAATAGAAAGAAATAATTAAATTTACAGTCTAATGTTTATATTATGATATTCAGGATTTTGGATTAAAATCAATCGACCAAAACTTACCTGTGTTATTATTGATCTATGTTTACACCTTATACATTATATATCAGTATTGTTAAAACTTTTAACACTGATGAAAGCCATTTGTTGAGCCAAAATATTTGCAATTATTGTATTATTTATATCATCTGTTCAGTTTTTCCATCTTTGTGCGATGATATTCAACACTTTTTAGTGTTTTGTTTTCCATCTATTTATCGGTATTGTTACACAATCTTTAAGACTCATATAATTTTCCCTGTTTGTGTAGTATTGTCAATTTTGATGATCCAATACCTATTAAGTTTACTGGTTGGTAGATTCTTATAGACTCTCTCTCTCTCTCTCTCTCTCTCTCTCTATATATATATATATATATATATACTAAGCTTATCATCTACGACAGATAAGTGGTTTGTCTTCACAACTCGTCGTTGCTACTTTAATCAAAACACTGTAAAGGCTAAATCAAATACGATGTTTAGATAATCAAAACAAAAAGATATATGTACATGTATACAAAGTGTTTCATTTTCTGAATAATGTAAGATACGCAATTCAGATCACTATACATAAGAAAATGCATGCACCCAGTCAGAAATATGACAGTTGTTATCCATTTGTTTGATGTGTTGGGCTTTTGATTTTGTCATTTGATTAGGGACTTTCCGTTTTGAATTTCCTCTAAGTTCGGTATTTTTTGTTATTTTACTTTTTATATGCTTAGGTTAGAAAGTCTTATGGTTTTGAATAATTCATCATACACGTTAATCTTATATTTCTCTGGCCATATATAAAAACAAACTATGTTACAAGCATTGAAAATCTTTCTAGGGTTCCCAATCACAGAGAAACTTTAATTGTATTGAACTAAGATGGTGCTTCAACCAACACCAGCTAAGATTTAAGGTTGACCCATTAATCTATACCTATTTCATTCAATGTATTAATGCATTCACTATATGTTCATTTTTATAATGCAGACTCATATAGTTTAAACAAGAAAATATTTTCATTTGGATAAAAAGAAAAAGGACAAGCAGATATAAATAACAAAACAGTGAATGATGGAAAATATATGCAGTAGTACTGTTTTATCATTTTGTAAAATTTTCCGTTCTGTGTTTTATTATGAAACTTAGTTCAACTTGGTAACAACATGAACGTTTTGAAGTTTCCTAAACTTCGTTGGCATGACAAATACGAACAAGAAAAACATGTACTTGTCGTTAATAGACAAATATTTGTCGTTATTGAAAAGAGTACATCTGATAAATAAAAACTATTTAACATTTATTAGAACAACACTGATGCATAGCTGTTAAAAGGTATTAAGATACTCACATGTTGGGATCATTAAGTTAGAACTCCATACTTTTTTCTTTTATTGATGATCATGTGCATTATTTCGAAATAAGTCTTCTTATAATCTCAGGAAGGAATGTGGTTTATTTCTAGATTGGAGACAAAACAAATATGAGAATTTAACAATTTCAATATAGTGTGTTGTTGATTGTTTTTGTTAGCTGACTTTCATACAAAATATGCATCGGTCAACGTTCTAACACTCCAATAAAATTACAAAAGGAAGTGATTTTTTTTTTATAAAACATTGCTTCAAAAGCCTCTATTTAGATAAACTGCAACGTATGTAACTGCTTGATCACATCGTTGAGTAATTCTACCGACCAAGTTAAATAAAAAAAAACGTTTTTGATCTATCAAATACATTTTTGTCATAACACAATATTGTAGGAAATTAAAATCTGTGGCTTGACTTTGAAAGTGATAAGAAAAAAATAATGTTACTAGCTTCTATTTATCTGTCTTTATACATTTCGTTCTTCCTGTCTGTGCAAAAGTTATTAGTAACGAATTTCATCTCTTGTTAAACTGCATGCGTACGTCGATCAGCAAATGCGGTGGAATCCAAATAGAATCACGATCAATGCAACTGAACGAAGTTTATAATTATATCTACGTGATTTACATAATCATTACCAGTAAAAGTAGGTAGATTTTCAGGACTGGTCTAAGCAGATCTGGTCACAAACTTGTTCTTGAACAGTCGTGTGGTAAGCACGGAATCTGTTCTATCAACGATAAATCTAACATGCTTTACTGCTCCAGATGTACAATTCAGCAGGTAAAGCAGAAATAAATCTATTAAATTTTTATTGCACATGTTATGTTTACTCCACCCAGTAGTGATACATTTATTTTGTATCGTTACTTTCAGAACTGCTATGAGGAAAATTTATTTCTAGGAATACTTACATGACAATAATAAGAAAAGACGAAATTATTTCTGATCAATAATTTGTTGAAACGTACAGACAGTAATGAACACAATATTATTATCCTTTCAATCACACATGCAGTTCGACAACACATTGGTTATATGGAGCGATTGCAATCAAAAACATGAAAACATACAGAAAGATATCTTTGAGTCAAGATCCTTTGTTTCTGTGTTGAAATGGACTGATAAAAACATATTTGCATGCTATGTAAATTAGTGAAAATTGAAATTAAGAATTTGTCATATTAATTTTTGCCATATTGGTTTTTACATATCTATTTTGTCATAATTCTGAGTAAGCACGGGAAACATCAATTATTAATTTTTTGAAAGACACACGTTGCAAATGACTTCTTGATTAAATCGCACAGTACATCTCAACTACCTTTAAAGTAGGCAATAATCAAGGATCATTTAAATGTTTGTCAATTTATTACAACGGATTTCATTTATGTAATATTAATTATCAGATTCAGTTCTGTTTGCACAATATTAAAAACCAACCTGTCATTGTGGAAATATCTACAAATAATGTACTAGAGATTTGTTGATGAGTCTTTAGATCATCAGAAAATATATCAAATTACAAAACAAAACAAAAAAGAACGTGTCACTCGCCGTTTCAGTTATAATAAAAAAAATGTTGCCAGGAATGATATTTGATAGAGTACAACCTTAACAATGTCGTAGGTTTTGGCACAATAAAAGTTATGAAATCAGCGCCCCCCTCCCCCCCCCACCCCCCCCCCCCCCCCCCCACAAAAAAAAAAAAACAATTAAAAGTGATCATTATACATGTACAAATGTCACAGTGCAATAAAGGCATAGTTGTTCTTTTTCCCATACAGTCTGAACAAACGATTTAAGATTTCAATCATTCTTGGTGTTTCCATTTAAAAGATCAGGTAATAATATAAAAAATAACAGTCATATCTTCCATGAAGTCTAATACATTTTATTTTGAACATGTTGAAGTTACGTAAATGTTCTTATATATGTTTTCGTGAAAAAGCAAACTTTGCTTATTTTCAAATACAATTGGAACATTATTCATATAACAACTTTAATATTTATCTCGATATCTGTCTTTATTTACAACAATTGACCGTCTTGACTTTATTTGACATTACCGTGTACTAGATTATCTAAACTCTTTTTATTTATTCATTATTTTCCCCGTTTAATTGATGTGTATCATGTGAATTTGAATACAAGTAAAGCAGATATCATGTTGGTCTTTGCCCTGTTTTCTGGAAATCTTACTGCTACAACTTATTGTTTAAATATAATATATTACAACTGAACCAATTTACACTTGCATCTGTCTGACATGAATATTATTTGGGACATAAACTTTAAATTTGAAAAAAAAGATTATATAATATATTTTGTTAGAAAAATTGGAAAGCTGAATACATTGAAAAACGTACCTGTGTTGTAATCAAACATACATCCGTCTATGTAGTCACACCTAAATAAACAATTAAGATTACTTTGAATATCATCAAATCTGCTTAACCAACTATACAAAAGCTTTGTTTTATTGAATAATTTATTGTTCCCGTTCACATTGTCATGAGAACAATTTAATTCTATGGTGGCAATGGGTCGGATGAAGAAGAATCACGAACTTAATTAAACGTCTTTTGTCAATGCAATGATCAGGTAATTAGTGTAATATACAGCCGTAACAACAACACAATTTCAGTAAAGAATAATTAAATGAATTAATTTTGAACTAACCATCCCGATGACGTGTTCAAAAATATTACAAGATGGCTGATATATGTTAACAATAATCCTTCACTTAAAATGGGGCATAAATATGCCGTTGATATTTAAATATGATTTGCGATAAACATAGCTTGAAATTGATATTAACGCCCCCTTTTGAATTTTGCTTTTGACAACTTAAAGGGAGTCAACCATTTTAAAGGTGATTTATATGACACACACACCTTTAATTTACAACAAACAATCTACAGACCTTTCAGATAATTGTTGTAAACAAGGAATTCGTACACAAGTTTTGGCTTGTATTGTCAAACAATGAGTGTTTGAATCACTGTCGTGTAAATTGCTAGAAGCACTATGTAGGGCACACCAATACCAAAATCAGATCTTTTCGTGATTAAGTGTAAACAGAGGTTATATTCATAGATATGTTTTAGTAACATAAAACTAGTGTTATTATCATTATTTTTCTCGTTCTAAACAATTCGGGTTAATATGTACGTGAATAACTTTTATCAAACAAAAGACAGAAAAAATAACAGAAGGCATTCAAAATTCTAAAAAAAAACAATACAAATTAACAATATTATGGCAAAAATATAGAAACTACGAAAGACAAAACACTTCATAGAAAACGACAGACTGAGCATCACGAACTCCATGAATGAAGTGGGGGTGGGTGATGAAAACTCAGTTTCTCGTAAGGATACGTAGTTTCTTCCCATAAGTGACACCCGTAAAATCTGATTATAAGTCGAGATCGGTAATGTAACAACAGGATTGTTAGAATTTGATTAAACTAGTTTTCAATTATTGAATAGTTAAAATATGATTAATATAACTGCTTACCTTTCAAAATCACAGTTGCATTTACTTATACAACGAAATCCATAAAATCCACTATCACATTGAGTACAGGGTAAACCATTTTCTGATATAAATTCGTTCTTGCATGCTTCAAGAAATATGCTGATGATTAATATCATTTTATCATGTTTATCTGATAATCATAGATGATTGTTATGTTAGGTCTTGAGTGGTATTCATTCAAATTTGTTTTACTTAAAATTCAATATAAAACGTATGACTCAGATACGTATTACTGAAAAATATTCTACTATATACCTAATATATATGTTTTATTATAAGAGTTTGTAAATATTACATGGTGCGATATAGCTTTTTTGAATGAATAATAAAAACGACATCAGAGTTCAAATACAGCGGATGCAAGCAATTACATGCGAATATATGGCTTTCAACAAAGAGAAAAACCCATACCTTATAGTCGGATATATCTGTTTTGGTATATCACCCATTTTGTCAATATAACGGAACTGTAAGCAAGTGTCATACAAGTTGGAGGTTAAGGTATCTATAAAACCAGATTCAACAAGCCAGTTTCGTCGAAAAATGTCTTTATCTAGTCAGGAATACGACCGTTGTTTTTCCCTTTGTTCCGTTGTTTGATAAAATCTTTCATTTGATTTTGTCAGTTTTTATAGACTTTCCCGTTTTTAAATTTACCATGGAGTTTTACATTTTCGTTAAACTTTTTAACTCAAATTGTACAATAGTCTTGAACTGATTTTCCATACATATTTAAATATCATGTAGATATTTCCTTCATATATACTACATGTTTTATGTTCTAAATGTGACATCTAGCTTTAATCCCTTGTATCATTTGTATGATACTTTAAAATTTTAGCAGCATGATGATTGAAGCTAAACATTTATAGTGAAACCAATTATTTCTTGTTATTGGAATTAGCATTTACCTATGCATTGGCCACTGATATTTTCATAATGGGGACAGCATAGCTTTTCTATATATCTTGTAACAATTCCTCCGTAAGCTGTAAAACTTTAAGAACACAATTAATAATTTAGACAATCCCAATCATATTTGAATTAAAATCTACTTGTACAAAGACCATTTTGAAATATGAGAAAAAACAATCATTTAAAGGCTACAATTATCTTTTTGTTGTATGAGTTGCTTATTCAGTTTATGAATTATATACAGTTCGCCAAAAGTTAAGCACCACCTATTTTTATTGCATCGAAATTTTTCAATTTAAAAAAAATCAGTTATTCCTCGAAAAAGAGAAAACATATATGTAGCAATTTTTCTAGAATACAATAAACAAACCATAAACTTAAGTTTGGTCACTGATGCAGGTTCTATGCTTTAAATTTTGCGTTCATAGAAATAGTGCAAATTACACAAATCAGAAACGGAATTTAAGTTTCACTGTGAGTTTTTTTCACAACAATTAATCACACAATATCATTAAAAGTCTCTACAAATAATCTTTGGTATGTTCGGCAAATTTAATGTCAATATTTGAGTCAATAGGATGTGTAACCACCTCTCTTTCGGTACAGTTCTCCATAACACGGCGTCTCATACTCTGTATACAAGACTTCTAAACGTTAGTTGAGGAAATTCATTCCATTCATCAACAATTTCCACTGTTAAATCACCACGATTTTGCAAAGGTGGATCTCTGCAATTGAGATTTCTGCCAATGGAATCCCAGACATGTTCGATAGGGTTCATGGGTGGAGACATGGAAGGCCAAAAGATAGTGTCAATAGCTTCTTGCTCTTTGTACTCGGTTACAATCCTTGTCTTGTGTGGTCTAGCGTTGTCGTCCGTGTTCCCGGGTCTTGACGCAAGTGGGTGATTATCAAAATGAGGGACAACAATGTTTCTAAGCACCAAATCCCTGTATGTCTGTCCGTTCATGTTACCCTGCAGAATATGCATACCAAGCATACAACGATATGAGAAGCAACCCTATACTGTAACACCATCAGCACCAAATGCAGTCGTTGGGCAAATGTTGTGTTGGTCATAGGCAGTTTTCTTTTCCGGCCAAACTCGTATTCTGCCGTCTACTGGTTGTAACAGAAACCGACTTTCATCTGACCAATGAATTGTTTGCTAGATTCTCATGTTCCAGCGTTAATGGTCATTAGCCCATTGAAAATTGATTATACCGTGCCTGGCTGTTAGGGCAGGTCTCTTGACAATACTACGTGCTCTTAAGTTGCCTCTGTGAAGTCGACGGACCAATGTTCGAACACTAACACGACCACATGGAGGCCAGTGGTGTCTAAGCTGCGGGACAGGAGAAAATGGGCTAACTTTAGCACGACGAATAAGCAGTCTGTCATTACGACGGGTAGTTAAACGGGGTCTTCCGGACCTTAGTTTATCATTGACAGTTCCTGTGTCAACATGACGTTGTAAAAGTATGACAATGACGGTGTGATTAACATTGAAATGATTACCTATGACCCTAGTGCTCCTAACGTCATTTGACATGTCAATTTCTTGCAAACGTTCAGCCACAGATAACTTACGCCTTGCCATATTACATAATGACTTGATGAAGGTCAGATTTCACCTGTTCGCGGGACGGTAGGAAAATGATTTAAAGGTTTCGAAACAGTGTATTTGTAAAAGTACAGATGACCTTAAATAAAAAGTTGCTTGACGAGTTTATCGAAGTTCAATCTTTTTAATCGAAATGAATTGTCTTAGTGTATGTTAAAGGCAATTCATAGCACCAAACATTAATAATTTTTTCGCAATAGTTTAAAAAATATTGCCATTTATATTTAGGTGGTGCTTAACTTTTGGCTGACTGTATATTTCATGATTAAATTGATGCCTGTAAAATAATAGGTCTTCTGTTGTTTTTGATGTTCTACATAACTTCGATATCCGTTGCTTGAAAATATTTAGTTTTGAACCTGATGAAAGTATCCCCATCAGTTCATGGTGGGGTTCATGTTGTTTAGTCTTTAGTTTACTATGTCGTTTTTTTTGTACTATTGCTTGTCTGTTTGTATTTTTCTTTTTTAGCCATGGCGTTGTGAGTTTATTTTTGACTTATGTGATTGAATATCCCTCTGGTATCTTTTGCCTCTCTTTTAAAACACAGATACGTTTCGTAAGCACTTAATTTGGTATTATGTAAGAGAACTCATGCTGTACAAACTGTTGTATACATTACCTCATGTGCATGGATCATTGATAATCTTTATTTTATGTTATACTGGTTATATAATCTTTTTCTATAAGACATTCAACATAGATCCAGTCACGATCATTAAAGAAGGCTGGCCTTTTCAGCGTGTGCACTATTGTTTTTTCTGGTTTTTTTTAAACCTAGATCCACCAGATAGAAAAACCTTATTGGTACTCAACGATTATTTTTTTGCTTGTTTTAATTCTTTGGTTTTCTGTGTATTTAAAGGGTATTCATGAGAACCAAACATGTTTGTCGGTATTTATCAAAAATGTGCCAAATTTAAGAACATAGAAACTCGTGTGACGAATTGCAATTTTCAACTTGATCGGTCAAAACCACATAAAATGAATAGTATATTTTGAACTTAACACACAACCATGTTCTCGTTGTCTTAGATCTCTATCTTTCAATACAAATAAAGTAGTCTAATCAGTACATTTACAGACATCGCCATATTCCCTACCGGGTTGTTTTGCGTGTGGTCTCCAATGGCGGATGATGCATGCAAACATGTATCAAGAACCTGCTTTCTTTGCGGAGGCAATAGGCTCACTCCGCTGATAGCTATGCAATTCAGTATATTTTAATCATGACTTTATATCGTTCTTTGGTATATTCGAAATTGGTTTATTAAATTTGAACATTTCATAATAAACTTTTTCCTCTTACTTTATCTTTAAAAAATCAAATGAATATTATTTGAACATGACCGGTGTAAAATATGAATATATATACTACAAGAAATGTCAGTTGACACATGAAAGGCTATAACATATACACCATGCAACTACTTACTTTTTATGCTTAATGCATATTGAATCTCCTCCCGAGTGTCTTACAAATAAAAAGATAAAAAGGTATAAGAACAGCATTGTTAAGTTCTACTGTATCGTTTATCCAGAGATAACAAGAAAATAATTTATTTATAAATAATATAAAATAATATAAATACTTCCGTGTACTACAGTACAACATAATATATTCAGAGCACTTTAACGTTTAATCGATCTTTATTATTACCACGTTAACCGATGATGTTAATTTTGGTTTCTGGCATTATTTGTATCAAAAATGTCAACTGTTATATGAGGGGAAAATTCAGCTAGCTGTTAAACCAGGTTTAGCCCTCTTATTTCTTCGTGCAGTTGTTTTCCAGTCGTTCTGTTGATTGATGAAGTCAAGAGTTTTTTTTTATTGTTTCATGTATAACTAAAACTTGGATTTCGATATTTAAGCATTCAATTTTTTTTTTTTTTTCTATAATCTAATTAAATGCATTATTGCTGTTATAATGTATACCATGAATACCATACAGCATTTGACAGGGCACCCCTGTAGTGTTAGTTTTTTCTGAACAAACAGGGAGATTGTTCAGTAAATAATAATAAATTGTTAGATTTACATTCTATATGTCTATACAACAGATTACTACAGAAATTATTTTTCCGAAAAATTGCATTCATGAACCGATTTCACTATGAATATGTTAGTTGACCTAGTCATGACCCTGTTGATCAACGATCACACGATGGAGACAAATGATTTTGCAAAGCTATTACATTGTAGGTATACATACGTGATTGTGAATTGAAGTGTTTGTATGAGTTTTGTTAATTTTGAATATGTGATTCAAGGGAGGATGCTTTTAGGATAAGTAGGGTTTAATGTTTTATCATCGATCATGATCATGACGAAGTCCTCAACACGTGGTCTAATGATTAATTAAGGATAAGCCACATATATTTGCTGTATAAATATAACATATATGCATAAAATAATAATTATATATACAAGCTTATTTCTTTCAAAATTTTACCATGTTTACCACCTGTTAGTGTCGAAGCATTTAAATAGTTCAAAAAGTCTTATACATCTAGATCTGTAGTTTTATAATTTGAAATGTCAGTACACTTGTGGATGGAAAATGTAATGAATGTTACCAAAAGATTTATATCATAATAACTGCTGTCCCAGATTTTATATCCTACTATGAGATTTCTGTAGTTTAGGATATGAAGACCAATTTTAACTTTATTTAACAGTGTTTTGATTTTTTTCCCAAAAGGCTTTAAAGTATTAACATTCCAGAAAAAAATCTTCTCTTTCATTACATATAATAATTTGGCATAAACAAAGATTTACTAAAAATTATCTTAGGTTATTTACTAGGCAATTCCTAGAAATGTTTTCAAGTTGGTGACAATTTTAAAAAGTTCTTTTCAATATCAAAATGAACATCTTACTTCATCATGTGTTCAACATATTTAACATGGATTGATATAATGAAACAATTTGGTGTTTATTAGGAAGCTAAAACTGACATTCGTATTCGGACATTTCTTACTTTTCGAACATATGATTTAACCAGTGACAATATAATAGTTAAGTAATTTATTAATTGTTGTTTTCAGTGTACATAAATTAGGCCGTTAGTTTTCTCGTTTCAAATATATATTTTACATTTGTCAATTTGTCATTTTGGGGCATTTATAGCTTGCTCTGCGGTTTTTGTTTTGTTCATTGTTGAATGCCATACGGTGATTTACATTTGTTAACTTCTATTTCATGTGGTCTTTGGTGGAGAGTTGCCTCATTGGCAAACATACCACATCTTCTAATTCTTATAGTAAGTACTATGATGTGGTTTTCACTGTTGTGAACAGACGTAAAAAAATGTCCCAACTATATTTTTGAAAAACTTGTGGATTTAAAGACTAGTTTCGTTTTTATATTGGATATATCGATGCTATGGAAAACAGTGAAGTTTATTTGCAAAAGTGATGCAAAATGCACAAAAAAAATAAAAAT